TGCATCGCTGGAAGTGGGGTCCGCAGTGCTGATGATGTCGGTTGGAGTGCTCAGTGTCCTCGGCAAGCGTTAGGAGCATCGATTGGCGGAGGTACACAGTCAGAGTGCCAGCGGTCCGTCACATTTGGTGGCAGCGGCGGGATGGCGTCTTAGTGCGAGGACCAGCAGCTCGGAGTCACCAGTAACGTGTGGAGTTATGGATTTATAATTGAGGGCAATGCTAGCTATCGTGCAGCGCCCCTATTTGCAGAGGTACTCGGGAGAATGGAGCGATCTAGCGACTGTGCAGCGTCCCCATGTGAGGAGGAGTTTCTCTGGAGGTTGCAGCAACACTTGGCCCAACAGGATGGGCCTGTATCAGAGGAGGGCATACTGGACTGGAGAGATGCCACTCAAAAGGAGTTGTGGTATGATGCCTTAGAGGAGGAACAGTGGCGGCGGAGGGAGAGCCTTCCCAGTGACGAACAGCGGTTCCAGGTACTCGTGACCTTTCCTAGGAGAGGAACCCCTGGATGGAACTGTGGTATCTGATTTGGAAGGAGTTGTGGCTGGATGGAGCGTACCGGGCACTAAAGTGGTATGCCACCCAGCGTGACCCCTGGATGACTAACCACTGCCGGAAGGGGAGGATTATAATGGCCCAGGCATACTGTGGGAGGCCTTTGAGGAGGTCAATGACTTTGGATGCCCCGCAGAATGTCGGCTCTGGGACATCCACAAGATCAGGGAAACTCTGCTGGATCTTCCCCGAGTGGACTACCTGGGGCCAGACCTGATTCATCTGGTCAAAATGGAGTGGGAGCTGGAGCAGAGCTACCAACATCTGTTCAGCTTAGCACAGCAACCAAGTATACGACCAGGAGTAGGGACAGTCGGTCCTGCTCCCCAGCGGCAGTATACTTTGCAGGGAGAGGAGACAACCGGTCTCCCTCCCCATCGGCGGCCTGAGTTCCAGGAGGAGATGATGGTCTATCCCTCCACCGTACAGCAGCCAGAGTCCTGGGGAGGGGAGGTGTAATGGCACCCCCAGGCATAAAAGGGTTAAACCACCGTTTAGTAGATCTTCCCCTTCCAGAGGCACAGGCACAGCTACTGCAGAACCCCAAACTCCCGAACAGAATACCAAGTAGCACTCCAAACTCCCGAACTGGAACCTCACGAATAGCTGATAGCAGACGAATAGGAAAAGCACCCAAGCACATTCACATAAAACTTACATTTTAAGAATCAGCATACTCCAAATACGAACATATGTCAAAATCATACAAATTGGTCCAGTGGTTCAAAAGATAGATCGTAGTCCTTTGTGACCAAATGAAGCATGGCTTTTCTGCCCAAAACCAGTTCCACAGAGTCTTCTATCCTGGAGATCAGACCAGTGGTTCAGAAGATTGATGGAAGTAGTAAAAAGACCGACCGCACGGGAAGTAACAGCCGAAAATGTTTCCATGCATTTTGGCCCTGCGGTCGGTCACAGAAAAAGGGAATGAACTGCACAAATGACTTAGGCTATGGAGACTGGAGAGGATTCGAATGAATCCCCTTGTTCGTGGGTTTCGGTCTACCGAATGGGTAGCCGTTCGGTAGTTTCTACATGAATTTACGGGCAGTGTGGAGGTCTCAGCGAGGTTTGCCTACCCGAGTGTCCGATTTGGGTTCCAGACACTTGACGGCAAAACACCGCTGTTCGGGAGTTTTAAAATGGCCGCCACAAGTTCGTTTCCCGAATGGCGGCCACCCAGAGGACAAAACACACATTACAAGAATCACCAATTACCTGTTTGCAACATTGTTGCGAACGGTAATTGGAGGCACACTTCTCCCTGGGATGGTCTGACTGTTCGGTAGTTTCATTCGCATAAGAACTGGAGTGATTTTACCGAACAATCAGACAAATGATACATACACTTCACATATTACAAGTTCACATTCAACCAAATACATAGACATAAATGTACTTTTTAGGACAGCCCAATGCCATCCGCTACAGTGTGCGTGTGTGTGTGTGTGTGTGTGTGTCTATCGGGGAGGGGAATTTTACAGTAGCTGCTGCATTTCCCACCCTAGGCTTATACTCGAGTCAATACGTTTTCCCAGTTTTTTGTGGTAAATTTAGGTGCCTTGGCTTATATTCGGGTCAGTTTATACTCGAGTATATACGGTAGTGCCGATATCGCACCTTACCCCTTGCCACTTTACCCACTTACATATAATCCCCTGCTTCCAAGTTTTGCAGGATGATTGTACGAACTGTACTAGGGCACACACTCCATAACACTAGAGACAACTCATTCATCACATTACAAGACCTAACACTAGGGAAATCGCCCATGAGTATACAACAATTGCACTATGAACAAGTGCAGCACTTCGTGAGGGAACAACGACTTTTACCACGGGGAACTCACAACTTTCGAACAACTGTGTCAGGTGCCCTCTCTGAAACGAAAGCTTTTGTCCACATTGCATAAACTGATACTAAACACAAACACACCAGAACTCCCGGAACTCACCACTAAGTGGACAAACAAAATGCACATAGACATGATGGGAGAACAGTGGCTACAAATATTTACCAGAACCCACAAAACATCCATAGCTACGATATTCCAGGAGGGTAACTACAAACACCTTACCCGCTGGCATTACACGCCAATTAAACTCAGTAAAGTGTACACAGGAACCCAAGACTCTTGTTGGCGATGCAGGCAAGGTGGGGCAAATCCAACACACATTTGGTGACAATGCCCTATTGTGGAGAAAGTAACCTTGTCACTTGTACTTGGAGGGGCCTGCTTGTCAGCCTCTTGCCCTGTGACTATAGCCCCTTTAATCTATTTTGTCTGAGAGACCCTAATTGTGTCTATAGGGACTTGGCACGATGCCCCTTTAAACTTTCGAAGTGGTCAAAGTGGAACTTCGAACCACCGAACAGCCGGAACACACACAAGTGGAATGTACAGCCTATTTACCTCCCAGGCTGGTAGTTAACCGCAGCCAAATTGATGAACGGCTGGGTGGTCGCCGTTCGTATAGTTGAACACGTGGCGGTGGCCATCTTGTTTAGTCGAACGTGTTCAGCTGTGTTTTGTCGTCGAGTTCATGGAACTCAAAGTGGACACGCGATGGCACGAACACCACAGAACTTTACCTTCTCTGGGACTTTGACTCTTCGACAGGAGTTGAACAGCGTTCGACAATTCGAATAGCACTTTAACATTGACTATGTGCACGAACGGTTCCCGTTCGACTATTTGAACTGAACTTAGACATTGAAAATAGACCTGTTTTGGGCATGAAATCATGCATGCGGTCGGTAAAAAGAGACTTCCAGGAATTTCCTGAACCCCTGCTGTGATCTGGGTGATATTTGGATATGTTGTTCACCCAGATCAGGGCTATCAGGGGATGTGATATTTATGGGGATATGTTATGTTTTGGGGTGTTTTCTGTACTTTGTGGAAAATGTGTGTAATTAGGTTATTGTATTAGCTACTTTAATTACATCACAGGCAGAGGGGAGGGATTGTTTACTGTATGTGGGAGTGTCGTACTGTTAATGACTGTTTTGATTGGTTTACGTCCCTTTTGTCAGGTCCAGGGGGTGTGCCTTTGGCCTGAAAAACTGTATAAATTGTAAGTGCTGGCTTGCATTAAACAGAATGCTTTACCCCTTCATAAAGTCTTGGCTCACGTTTGGGGTTGCTATAATCACTACACTCCCCTGAGTATAATCACTAGCTCTTCCTGCTACACTCTCTGGACTAAGAGACATCTACCCACTGGAAGCTGGATGCTGGTCTTGGGTCCCGGGTGGGTGAAGGATGGCGAGACCCGAACCAAGCTGCGGCGATTCATGGGGTTTACGGTGGTTATGGTGTTCCAGTGTTCCAGCTTATGGTACTCGCAAGTACTAGGAAGCCGAGATTGACGGAGGTACTCGGTCAGGGTGCCAGGTGCTCCATCACACCTATTAGCAGGAAATACTGGGGCAGAATCCACAAACTAATACAGAATGTCACACACACACAGATTCCCTTCCTACCAGAACATATGATCTTCCTACTTCCACCCTAAAATCTAAATAGAAGGGAATACAGCTTGACCTCAATACTAATTATGGCAGCCAAACATCTTATCCCAGCTCACTGGAAACGGGACACCCCTCCCTCTATTAGGGAATGGGTCTACAAGGTGGAGGAAATATCTTATGCCATCTCAAAGAACTTCAAGATGTTTAGTCAAATTTGGAGTCCATAGGTCTCCTTTATGGGAGGTAAGGGATAAGACAAACACAATTTAGATAGGCCAAGGAAGGAAGAAAACAAAATAAAAGAAAGTGTGGCAAACCCTGCCACTGAAACACTAACTATTCTGTGCGAATGAGCATTGGAATTGTTACAAGCGAATGGATGCTAAAGCAGAGACTAGTTTCCGAACGGACTATAATGTTCTTCATGCTGTTCTGTATGCGAATGCCCCGAAACTACCGAACGAGAGACCACCCCGGGGTGGTCGTGTGTTTCCCATTAACTAAAAGATATAATGTTGTGAAGGGAATTAAGTGCCAGTGTGTGTGGCTGCCATTTTGCCTACCGAACACGTGGCGGCGGTCATCTTACGCACGAACAGCGGTACTTGGTCGTCAAACGCCTGGAACTCAAACCGGGCATTCGACTAACCAAGTACCGCTAAGACGAAGCAAATACACGAACGCCCCGGCGTTCGGTAGGTAGAATCCCACGAACGAGGGGATTCATATGAATGGTAACAGATGCCCAGATGCCTAAGCCATTCGGGACATTGTATTCACTAGAAAAGACCGACCGCAGGGCCAGAATTCATGGAACTGTTTTCGGCTACTGAGCCCATGCGGTTGGTCAAATCTTTCAATGACTGTAACTCCCGAACCCCTGGTCCAATCTGGGTGAATTATGAGTATGTTGCTCACCCAGATCAGACCTACCATGGGACCCCTTATTTAACCCTGTACCCCCTGTATTTAGGGGACATCCATAAAGTGGGGAAAACTCTGTACCTATTAATCTGTTTAACTGTTAATCTAAGGGGAGGAGAGGGAGGGGAGGTGTCCACGATATGATTGGGTACTGTAGTAATTGTGAAAGTTACCTCCCTTGCATGGGAGAAATGCATAAAAGCAGACCTGTGAATAAAGCTGTCAGTTGACTCCCAGACTATGTGTCGTCTAGTCCTTGGGGAGGTGGATTATGCTGTGTTCCTGTGATTTTGTATGCTGAATCTTTGTTCCCAGCGGAGAGCTATTGGATTAACCCCTGCTACTCCGCTACAATTGGTGGCAAGCGACGGGATTCAAACCTCACAAGCTGACCGTTGTTCGGCAGATAGAGCCATTCGTGGAAATCTTCTATTCGTATGGAACCGAAGGGAAAGGGTATGTGAATATACCCGAACGCATAGTGAATGGGGACAGATTATACAAGCTTGAAACGGGCCACACTAAAAGAACTACTGGAAGCAAGGGGAATTATTGCCAGCAATAAAGCCAAAGGTACCCTTATTGCCGAACTCATGGAGGGAGACCGGGCAGCTGCTGCAGCACCTCTTATTGACAACACACAGACGGAGTTTGGAAGAGAACTCCAAAGCAGACTGGCCTTTTTCCCAGGAACACCTCCCATGGAAACTATGGAAAGGATTATGGCAGATGTCCACGAATATGTGATGGCAAAGCAGCAGGCAGACCGGAGGTCCAGAGAGGGGTCCCCAACCCCACCCCGCATAGTACAAGGGAAGCCTAAAATTCCTTACCAAGCTTTTAAAAATTATGTGGAAACCGAGGACATCGATGGCTACTTGCATGACTTCGAGAGGTTATGCCAATTGCATGAGAGTAACGCTACTGACCAGGTACCCCTGCTGGTGGGCAAACTAGCGGGCCGGGCAGCAGAAGCCTACTGCACAATGCCAGACGAGGACAGCAGGGACTACCAGAAAGTGAAGCAGGCGATCTTAACGAGGTATGCCATCACCCAAGCCGAAAGACAGAGAGAGACTCCCACATGGAATGGGCACACCGCTTAACTAGGGCTGGCAAGGGATGTGTGCAAGCAGCACAAGCAACGACAGAAGAGGATATGCTGCAATTGCTGCAACTGGAACAATTCTTCCAGGGGTTAACCCCAGACCTACAAAACTGGCTGAGGGATCGGAAACCATGCACCTTAACCGACGCAGCCAGGTTGGCGGACGAGTATCAAGATGCCAGAAGGGCACAGCGGGCACAGTCATGGCCCACCCCAGGAGCTGCTACCACACCTCCCACTATTACCACCACCCCAACACTTCATCCCGGTGGTGGGAAATACCAAACCGCTCCACGGTACAACAATACCCAATCTTTCATCCAGTGTCACACGTGCAACCAGCAGGGCCACATACAGAGAGATTATCCCAGGAACAAGAACCGCTCCACATGGAATAATCCAACTAATTTCTCTGCAAACCGGGCAGAGTGAGCCCCGACACCCCCACTTCTGGGCCGGGTCCACTGGAAGAACCCTTGGGCACGCTCCACGAAGTCAACCCAATCCAGGCAGCTTTGGGCAATCGACAGGGGCATCACCAAGGGGTACACGTAGAGGGAAAATGCCTCCAGGGTCTGCGCGACTCTTGGGCCACCATAACTTTGGTTCGTAATCACCTAGTTCCAAAGAACCAGCGCACTGGAGAATATGTGGCAGTCCGGGTGGCAGGGGGAGCTATTTACAAAATTCCTACTGCCAAGGTACATTTGGATTGGGGAGCGGGGTCAGGGAATGTGGAAGTGGGCCTCATGCAGGATTTACCAGCCGATGTCATCCTGGGTAACGACTTGGGGGAGCTAACCTCCGCTTTTGTCTCTCAGCACCCCACGCAGGAAGCACTACCCATTGTAACCCAGCAGCAGGCTCGCACCACCGCATCCTCCGAACACTCTGAGGCTCAGGTAAGCAACAGCCCCAAACCCCCTTTGGTTACATGGGCTCCCCCCTTAGAATTTGGTACTGAGGTAATCACCGACCCGTCCTTGCAGGTATACCAGGATAGGGTTACGCAGAATCAGGCGGGGTTGGAGGGAGAGAGATATGCTTGGGAGAAAGGATTACTGTATAGGTATGCCGAGAAGGTGGTAGCAGGATCAGTACCCATGACCATCACACAATTAGTCATTCCTAAAAAGTACAGGCAAGAGTTATTACGTATTGCCCACGATATCCTTTTGTCAGGACATCTAGGCGTCAGTAGGACGAAGCATCGTTTGACCCCAAACTTCTTTTGGCCAGGGGTCTCCAAAGATATCCGCCAGTATTGCCAAACTTGCGATACGTGTCAGAGAGTAGAGAAGAGAGGGGACCGATACAAGGCAAAAATGCACTCCCTTCCCATAATAGATGAGCCCTTTAGTAGGGTGGCATCAATATATTTGGACCCCTAGCAAAACCCAGTCCTTCCGGGAAAAAGTACATTTTAACGGTAGTAGACTACGCTACCCGGTATCCCGAGGCAGTGGCCCTAACTAATATCCATCCGGAGACTATAGTGGACGCCCTGATCCGGATATTCTCCCGAATGGGGTTTCCCAAGGAGATTATCTCGGATCAGGGTACCCAGTTCACAGCCGAAGTTACTCACCAGTTGTGGAGAACATGTGGGGTGAAACCTATCGTAAATTCAGAGTACCACCCCCAGTCCAATGGGCTCTGTGAACGTTTTAACGGAACATTAAAACAAATGCTCCGTACGTTCATGGATACCCAGAAAGACTTGGAAAGGTTTCTCCCCCATCTGCTCTTCGCCTACCGAGAGGTACCCCAGGAGTCCACAGGGTTCTTTCCGTTCTAATTACTATTCGGAAGGAAAGTGTGGGGTCCTTTGGACCTCATTAGGGAACACTGGGAAGGAACTGTCACCAATAACGGTACCCCTACTGGTGGTTCTAGAGTTCAGGAATGACCTCCGTGATTCTATTAGTATTGATCTATAATTAAAATACAGACTGTGACCTATCGAGTTATTAATAAAGTCAGTAGTCTGAGGCCTTTTATTGACACGGTAGATAAGTGAGAGGTTTAGCCGAAAGGCTTGGTAGTTATCACTTCACATTGGATGTCTTTAAGGTCTGGGATAAGTAGGAATCCTCCTACATTACTATTGTTAACATTATTTGTCCACAGATCGAATCTTTACTATTTAATTCCAGACTTAACTCGAATTGCAGGAGTACTTCCAGTGTTTTGAGTATCTTTCTTTTTCTATTTCGTTTATTATTCAGGGGTTAAGCCCTAGGACACTTCTGGAGTGTCTACCAAAGTGTCCATTAGATTCCCTGGGTGGTGGGGTCTCCCTAATCTTGGGTTGAACCCCCACCTAAGGTCTCTATTATTATTTTTTATGTAATGTCATCAAGAACATTAAAACCAACCAGACAAAATGTATAAATATACAATGATAAGGAAATGCATGATTGCATGTTACGGTTTTTAATAAGATGTGACTACAAATATGTACTGTTACCTGTTGACGCTCTTTGTATGTATGACTACGATTCAGGCCAGTAAGCCTTACTTCAGTAGTGGGGAAAGTGATGGAAACCATGTTAAAGGATAGGATTGTTGAACATCTAAAAACACATGGATTTCAAGATCAGAGACAACATGGGTTTACTTCAGGGAGATCATGCCAAACTAATCTTATTGATTGGGTAACTAAAATTATAGATCAGGGTGGTGCAGTAGACATTGCTTACCTAGATTTCAGTAAGGCTTTTGACACTTGCACATAGAAGGCTTATCAATAAACTGCAAGTATGGATTGCAATATTGTTGAATAGGTAAGGCAGTGGCTGAGTGACAGGTAACAGAGGATTGTAGTCAATGGAGTATATTCAAAGCTTGGGCTTGTCACCAGTGGGGTACCTCTGGGATCTGTACTTGGACCCATTCTCTTTAATATTTGTATTAGTGATATTGCAGAAGGTCTTGATGGTAAGGTATGTCTTTTTGCTGATTCTACTAAGATATGTAACAGGGTTGATGTTCCAGGAGGGATAAGCCAAATGGCAAATGATTTATGTAAACTAGAAAAATGGTCAGAGTTGTGGCAACTGACATTTAATGTGGATAAGTGCAAGATAATGCATCTTGGACGTTGTGACGAGACCAATCTCGCCACATTGCATTGGAGAAGCCTGGTTGCTCGCCTGCTGCCTTTGGACTATGGCCCCTTTTAAAAGACTTTATTTTTGCATGCAGAAAAGCTGTATTCGTGCTTTTCTGCCGGTTGTTCGGTAGTTTCAATCTACCGAACAACCGTACGAATGACTGAACCACCTGGGAGCTGGAGTGTGCCGGCAATTAACCTCCCTGAAGCTGCGGTTAACCGCAGCTTAATTGATGAGCAGCTGGTGGCGCCATTAGGTATCCCGAACCTGCAGTGTGACCATTTTAAATCATACGAATGAACAGCGGTGTTCGCCTCTATTTTCATGGAACTAAAATCGGACACAGTTTTGCGCGAACACCGCTGAAGCCGCCGACCTCCCTTCTTGTTCGGGGAAAGCACACGAATGACCCGGTGTTCGGTATTTTTGTGTGAATATCTTATACCCCAGATAGGAATCCCATGGAGCCCATTTGTATGAAACTGACTGTAAAGACTTTGGCTCCATGGCGATTACACTGTATTCGTGTGGTCTGAGCGCCATTCACTAATAATGTGCAGTCAGATCCAAGCTATCTGGGGATATGTTACATGTCTGTGGTTTATGTAGTAAATGTTACTTTGTGCATTTTAAAGTATAATGCTGGTTTTGTGTTCCCACGTGTGTAATGGAGTTTTGCCTTTGACTTGGGAGATAATTGAGTTACTTCCCAATTATCTCCCAGGGCAGAGGGGAGGATACCAGGATGCATTGTGGGAATATACTGTGACTGTGTGTCCTTTTTGTATACTTGTCTGTCCCTTGTCACAGTCTCCCATTTGGTCCCCTAGGGGAGTGTCCACCAGGTGGGAGACCTGCATAAAAGCTGGGCAGGTAGCCCTCATTAGACAGACCACTGCTTGACCCTCAACACGGAGCCTTGTCTCGTCTTTGGGGGGATTTACTGTATGCTGCTAAGGACTGATTGCCAGGAGTGTAAGCCGCTTGGAAGCTTTTCCTGTTCGCCTGCTAGCAGCTATTCGTATGGTTCCTGTTAGTTTATTTGAAGTGCTACCTTATTCCCTTGTATGCCGTTCGGGAGTTTGGAGCATTCACTTATTGGCGGTTCGTGAGGTTTGGT